GGGTGCTCAGGGAAGGCATTACACAGGTGGCTGTTGTGGTGATGTCTGCAAGAAGGTAAAGATCCACACCCAGGTGGTGAAAGTTGGGGAAGGTTTATTATGTGCTTTAGATATATTTTGCTGTATTGGCTGTTATAAAAATCTGATTACTGCTGCCTTCTTTCTGCTGAGTCACCCAACCAGATCATAGAGCAACATGCAATGCCCCCAGAGAGGCCTATGGCAGTGTTGAGGAAGTGAAGTCTAGGATGACCCATAAACAGAACCACAACATTGCACAAAGAGGAAAAAAGTTTCAGAATAAAGGACTTCATTCCCAGTATTTCAGAACACAATGAGATGTCTAAGAGTGTTGGCTGTGAAAAGTCAACAGTCTGAGAAGTACCCTCATTTATTTGTACCTGATTAACAGAGTTTTGCCTTGCAAAGTTGTAGGTATCTGCCTGTTAGTTTGGAGTGAATACAAGATGAAGAGAAATGAATCCAGGAGAGAATGCTGTAGATTTCTCAAAAGTTGAAAAGCTTTAAAATTCATACTTCAACTCAAATTCAAAACCCCCAAACTGGAGTGCGTATGAAATGATAAAGACAACAGTGTCTCTGTCCTTGTCATCCTCTCTGCAAGGCCTGCATATGGCACGGGGAGACAAAGATATTTTAGCAGGAATCCAAGAGTCTTCAGAAGCTTATACATATGCTCCAGGATTGGGCGCGGGGTGGAGGGAGGAGGGAAGGCAGGAGACTTTAATTAGAGCAGCTCCAAGAGCCGCTCTAATTAACATGCCCAGAGTATCTCATACGTCAGCATCCCCACGCTTAAGAATGGCAGCAGGGTCTCTTTAACTAAAGCTTGTTTGATGAGCTTTAGTTAAAATGCCCCCATCGCCATTTTTAAGCATGGGAACGCTGATACACAAGATGCTGGATTCTGCTGGACTGTGGTAATTACCACACTCCCGCAGACTCGATTAATCGAGCCTGCTCCGACACGCTGTCATTTCAGTGTCTCAGAGCAGCCTCATTGCTTGTCTATAGGTACCCTTTAAGTCCACAGCCTCCAGATATATTTAAAATCAGGTTTACAACAGAAAGCTAGCCTGGACCTTTCTGATAGAGGAGCTAGCAACTCAGTCAGGAGGCTGAATTAAGAGATTGCTTACAGAATCAGGTGCTACATTTATTGTGGCAACAGACACAAACAGTACCTGAATTTAGGCTCTCAGCCAGGAATGAGCACATCTGAGGATTATAAACACTGTGCTCCCATTTATATTTATGCACGAGTAACTCTGGGAATTCAATAGGGATAGTAAAACTGGATTAAGTAACTCAAATGTGCGGGATCTGGGATTCACATATGTCCAAAGCCGCTGGGCCTGTTTTCTCAGAAATTATTTTCAATCTAGCTCACACATCTGTAGGATCCAAAGGAACCCCAACCCCCTCCCC